TTATGGGGGGGGTGGTGTTTGTTTGTTTGTTTGTTTTTTCTTAATTAGACAACCAGATTAGTTTGGTGTTTCAAAGAATCAGCCCTTAAATTAAAAAAAATTTTTTTTTTATTTTGAGAGAGACAGGGATAGAAAGCAAACAGGGGAGGGGCAGACAGAGAGGGAGAGAGAGAATCCCAAGCAGGCTCCACACTGTCATCATGGAGTGCCATTTGGGGCTCAAACCCACAAACTGTGAGATCATGACCTGACCTTAACCGACTGAGCCACCCAGGCGCCCCAGCCCTTTAATTTTTTGCCAATTCAACTTTATTTCTGACTATTTTTTTTTTATTATTTCCTTCAGAGAATAACTTCCCAGTAACAAAACAATAAAAGTAATTACAAAAGGAAAAAATTATGCATTGGACCTTATAAAATTATTTTTTTCAGTTATGCATTCCCATGAAAAATTAACATAAGAGCAAAAGAAACAGACTGTACTCTGTTCCCAAATGTGATTAGGAAATTTTAATATTTTTTATTATGCACATAACTTAAATTCACAAGAAAAAACCCCAATCACCCGAAAGGTTAATGGGCAAACTATTTGCACATACAGCTCACAAAGACATATTATTTCCAAAAAAGTTTTAATTATTCAAATATTAAAATATTTCTCATATATAAAGCAGAAAAATATAACAACAAAGAAACAACCTCATATTAGGGTTTCAGAGAACTCATTGCCTTTTTTGAAATAGTCCTTATTTTAAAAAATAATAATAATAGCCCTTGTTGAGGTATAATTCACATACAATTCATCCTTTTCTAGTGGGCAATTCGGCGGGTTCTAGCATATTCAGCGTTGTACAACCATATCATTATCTAATTTCAGAACATTTTCACCACCTCAGAAAGAAACACTGCACTCATTGGCAGGCACGTCCTACCCTTTTCTCCCCCAACCAGGGACAGCCACCAATCTGCTTTCTGCCTCTATAGATTTGCTTTTTGCACGCATTTCAAATAAATGGATGTACAATATGCGGTCTTCCGTGACTGGCTTCTTTCACTTAACATGATGTTTCCAAAGTTCATCCGTGTTGCAGCACGTGTCAGGGCTTCAGTCCTTTTCATTGTTGAATAGTATTCCACCTTAGGGACGTAACACATTTTTGTCTATCCATTCATCATCTGGTGGGCATTTGGAATGTTTCCACTCTTCCCTGGTGACGAACGTTCACGTGGAAGTTTTCACGTGGAATAACTCATTGTCTTTTACATGGCTGGAAATCTGTAAACTGGATGTAACCCTTTGACAAAGTCATACGTAAAATGTCCGTACCTTTTAACTGCATAACCCTGCTTCTCAGAATCTGATTTAAGCAAATAAATTATGTCTAATATAAATAAATAATATGCAAGGTGGGAAAGCCCCAAGTAGGAAGTTGGTGTTCATGATATTATTTAAACGTAGCCAATTTGTCGTGTTTCTCCAGCATCAGGTACAAAAATAAGAACTTATCTTCTTTAAAATTGAAATGACCAAAGACACGTTGCTGTCTTTTCTCCCAAGAGTCTTTTCCCAAGAGAAAATCGATCGGTCGCCAAAGGGTCCCATCTCCGCCACAGTTGCTGGGGTGGCTCTCCCGCAGGGTCACTGTTGGAAGGGGGCTGTTGGACACTTGGTACAGGCGGGCCACCCTTGCTCATTTCCACAAGAGGTCTGGGTACCAGCCTCCCCGCACCTCTGTGGCCCACCCTGGCGAGTTAGTCCTCCAGCCCCCCGTGTCCTTCAAATGAACTCAGTGAAGAGCAGCTCAGCGAGATTCTAATCCCACTAAGCCTCATTAAGGACAGATTTGCCCACCCCTCCCCAACTTATGAGCTGTACCTTCTAAGGATTTTTGGTGGAATTGCCTCACATTCCACATTCTGGAATCCTCCAGAGTAGGGGGTGCCCTTTGCCTTATATCTACCTAACGACAAGGAGACACTCCTAAAGGCCTTCCTAAAGATCAGCCCCACTGCTGACAGCTTCTGTTTTAATTTTTAAACAGTAAATGGTATTTGGGGTCCTTGGGTGGCTCAGTCGGTGAAGCGTCCAACTTTGACTCAGGTCATGATCTCACGGTTCGTGGGTTTGAGCCCTGTGTCGAACTCTGTGCCGACAGCTCACAGCCTGGAGCCTTCTTGGGATTCTATCTCTTTCTCTCTTTCTCTCTCTGCCCCTCCCCCACTAGCGCTCTGTCTCTCTGCCTCTCAAAGGTGAATAAATGTTAAAGACAATTTTTTTTAAGTAAGTGGTATTTATTTTTCTGTGAAGAGGAAATAAATTCCACGCAAAAATCTAAAAATACAGGGGCGCCAGGGTGGCTTAGTTGGTTAAGCCTCCGGCGTTAGCTCAGGTCATGATCACATGGTTCGTGGGTTTGAGCCCCGCGTTGGGCTCTGTGCTGACAGCTCAGAGCCTGGGGCCAGCTTCACGTTCTGTGTCTCCCTCTCTCTCTGCCCCTCCCCTGTTCGCGCTCTGTTTCTGTCTCTCAAAAAAAAAAAAAAAAAAACATTAAAATTTTTTTTAAATTGGGGCGCCTGGGTGGCGCAGTCGGTTAAGCGTCCGACTTCAGCCAGGTCACGATCTCGCGGTCCGTGAGTTCGAGCCCCGCATCGAGCTCTGGGCTGATGGCTCGGAGCCTGGAGCCTGTTTCTGATTCTGTGTCTCCCTCTCTCTCTGCCCCTCCCCCGTTCATGCTCTGTCTCTCTCTGTCCCAAAAAAATAAATAAACGTTAAAAAAATTTTTTTAATAAAAAAAATAAATAAATAAAAATAAAAAAATTTTTTTAAATTAAAGAAATCAACAATACAAAGGGGTACACCATGAAAAGGCATTCTCCATTCCTGTCCCCGCTTAGGGACGATATTAGAGACAAGCCAGCATTACATTATGGAAATTGATAATATGTAATCTTTTTTCACACCTTGTTTTGATTACCATCTGTATCAGTGCACAATTTGGATATATCATAACTGATTTAACCAATCCCTTATTAGGTTGTTTTCAATCTTTTGCTAATCAATCAACCATGCAGCAAAAATACCCTTAGAAGGATAAACTGGTTCTGTACCCAAATTCCAATGTGTAGAGGAGGGTTTTCCCCCCACAGTACCAAGCAATGCTTAGATGCCAGCTGAATGAATACCCTACAGTTCAGTTCAATTCTGATACTATCTACCTGGAGATAGCATGCGAGCCCACAGGGTCAGGGCTCGGTCCCAAGAGACTACCTCCCACTTTCACAGGCCATCCAAGTCCACATTGACACCTGTGTTTCTGACCCACTGGCTATAGATCAGAGGTCCCAATGACCCCATCCTTCTTCGGTTCCATTCATTTGCTAGAGTGGCTCACAGAGATCAGAGAAATATTTTACTCACTAGATCACCAGTTTCCGTGAGATCATGACCTGAGCCGAAGTCGAATGCTCAACCGACTGAGCCACCCAGGTGCCCCGATCACCAGTTAATTTTAAAAGAATGTAATTCAGGAACAGTCAGATAGCAGAGATGCGTGGGGAAGGGGGATAGGGAAAGTGGGCAGAGCTTTCATGCCCTCTCCAGGTGTACCACTCTCCCTAATCTCCAAGTGTTCACCAACCCAGAAGCTCTCCAGACCCTCTCCTTTTGGGTTCCTATGGAAGATTCGTTACAAAGGCACGACTAATTAAATCATTGGCTGTTAGTACTTGAACTCAGTCTCCAGCTCTGCTGCAGGAGGTCCCCTGCAGTGGGACTGAGCCTTCTAACCCTCTAATCACACAGTTGGATCTCTGGGCAGCCAGCCCCCATTCTTAGGTGCGGTCCAAAAAGTCACCCTGTTAACATAACAAAAGATACCTTTCCCTCTCTCACCACTTAGGAAATTCCAAGGGTTTAGGGAGCTCTGTGCCTGAACTAAGATCAAATGTATATTTCTTACTGTAAATCACAATATCACAAAGGGGCATCATTGCTCATGATAAATTTATGAATTAAAGGGTAAACATACTTTAAATTTTAGTAGATATCACCAATCCACTCCCCGTAGAAATTTAATAACCCATCTAATAACAGTACACCTGACACTCAAGCCCAGGTTCCCTAAGTCCAAATTCAGGCTCTTGGTCACTGAGCTGAACTGCCCTTTCAGTCTCTCCCAAACTGACAAATCAAGACTGTTATTACCCAGGTAGTTTTTCTATGAATCGGTCATCCAATGGAAGAAAGTGAACATTTTTTTTCATATATTTAAGAATGATTTGTGTTTCCTTTCTGTGAATTGTCTGCACATAGTCTTTGCCCATTTTTCCACTAGATTATTGGCTGGTTTCCTTACCAGTTTGTGGGAACTCTTAATATATTAGGGAAATTAATCCTTTCTATATGTGGAATTAAAAATATATTTCCCAGTTTGTCATTTGTCTTTTGACTCCATGTATAATGGTCTCTGCCTTGAAGAAATTCGAGTTTTATATAATCATATTTATCCATGTTTTATTTTATGGATTCCAGACTTCATTTCATTCTTGGACAAAATTTCCACTTAGGAAATAATAAAAAATTCTCCAATGGATTTTTCAAGTACTTTTATAGTTTCTTTCTTTTCTTTTCTCTCTTTCCCTTTCTTTTCTTTCTTTCTTTCTTTCTTTCTTTCTTTCTTTCTTTCTTTCTTGACATCTAAATATTTGGTGCATTTGGAATTTATCCTAGTTAAAGAAATGGATCCAAGTTTTCCCCTTCCCCCACCTCACATGGCCACTCAGTTATCCCCAACACTATTTTGAAAGACTATCTATATTTTCCCATTAATTTATACACTCTTATGATAAATTTCACTGACAACATTCAAATAATAGCTTTTTCTGGTTAAAAAAAAAAACTACTAGGTGTAGATACCCCACTTTATTGCCCCTCCCCACTACATGCATGAATCAATACCAGAAACATCTTAAATATTTGGCAACAGGGACCGACAATAGTATTCTGCTTAAAGTGTATTCTTGTAAATCTCCCTGATGGACTTGTGTACAACCTTTAAAGAAATGATTATAAAGATTATGTCAAAATGCAGGGGAAATGCTTTTGATGCAAAAGTTAAGTGAAAAAGGAAGGATCTAAACTTTATGCAAACCAAGAACATGACCACAGTCTGAAAACATGCATAGCAAGGAATCACATGAGCAGCACACCAGAATCATAACATGGTTTTGTTGGCATGAGAGACGAGAGAGTTCCCCCACCTTTTTTACCTCCGGATTTTCTGCGACGTGGTGCTATCGGTATAATGTTCCAATTTACTTTTTAATAATGGCAGATTGTCCCTCTGGGTTTTTCTCCTGTGCCTCAGGAGACCTCACTAAAATGATAGCAAAGATTACGAACCTACAAAGACCAAAAAAAAAGGAGGTGGGGAGAAAAAGATCTCACGGTTGAAAAATTCCGACACGTTTTTGGGAGAGAGTCTGCGGATTGAGGAGTGGTAACAGACACCACAGGGCTGTGAAGGAAGCGACCAGAAGGCGCTGGGTGGGGTGGTGATTAAAGTAAAACAGGTCACTTGTGGACAGGACTCCAGACTCCCCTCCTGGGAGACACTGCTGACTCACCGTGTGTGCCCTCCAGCCAAGACACTTAGAAGTGCTCTGGCCTCTGCTCCCAACGAAACAAGGAACACTGTGTTTAACATCCCCAGCTTCCACTTGGGGCTGTGGGGAGGTTAATTACTGTTTGAAAAGGTATGTGAACCGGTGGGATAAAAGACCTGACAGGCAGAAGGAGGGTTATTACCAGTCCTGTAGCCCTGTAAATGCTGTGATTCTCTCGTCCACCCAAGAGACCAGCACCCCGGGTTCAGAGCTGGGCAGCCACAGGTGCAGCCTAATATGCAGGCTTTGGCCAAACGCTCACATCACTTGAAGAACAGGGCAGAGATGGCCACTGGTAAAGGGATGAATGGTGCGAAACTCCCAGCTAGGACACCAGCCCAGGCCTCACCTTGGGCGGCTTCTTTCCTTCTTTTTCTCTTTCTCTCTTTCAATTAAAAAAAATTTTTTTTTAATTTTTTAAAATAATTTTTAATTGTCTCAAACAGAGAGAGAGAGAGCATGAGCAGGGGAAGGGGGCAGAGGGAGAGAGAGAGGTAGAGAGAATCTTAAGCAGGCGCAAGCTCAATGCAGAGCCCGATGTGGGGCTCCATCCCACGACTCTGGGATCATGACCTGAGCCAAAATCAAGAGTCGCTCAACCGACTGAGCCATCCAGGTGCCCCGCAGCTACTTTTTTTTTTTAATGTTTATTTTTTTTTATTTTGAGAGAGACAAAGCAACATCGGGGGAGTGGGAGGAGCGGAGAGAGAGGGAGAATCCCAAGCGGGCTCCACACAGTCTGCACAGAGCCCGACATGGAACTTGGACTCACAAAATTGTGAGATCATGACCTGAGTCAAAATCAAGGGTCGTCGGGTGCCTGGGTGGCTCAGTCGGTTAAGCGTCCGACTTCGGCTCAGGTCATGATCTCGCGGTCCGTGAGTTCGAGCCCCAAGTCGGGCTCTGTGCTGACAGCTCAGAGCCTGGAGCCTGCTTCGGATTCTGTGTCTCCCACTCTCTCTGACCCTCCCCCGTTCATGCTCTGTCTCTGTCTCAAAAATAAATAAACATTAAAAAAAATTAAAAAAAAAAATCAAGGGTCGAAGCTCAACTGACTGAGCCACCCAGGCGCCCACTGCCGCTACTTTCTGTAGAACGAATGACATGTCCTCCTTGGTCCCCTGTTTAGGCGCCTTGCCTTTGGCTCTCATCTAGAGCCCCTTGTTGCCCTGCCTTGCTCCTACTCATCAAAGCAAATCCCGTCTCCACACACCAGGAGCTCTGATGCCCTAGACTTACTGCTCAGAATCCGATGGTCTTGTCAAGATGTGGAAATGTGGTACAATTTAGTGAGCTCTCATCAAGTGATGGTGTTGGCAGTTACATACACACACACACACACACACACACACACACACACACTCACCTGATTTCAAGAACTTGCTGGTAGGTTTGGATCCAGTCTCTTTTCTATGGCTTGGAAATTGATGGGGCTAAAAATATTCATTCATTCATTCATTCATTCATTCATTCAATTGTCTTCATTCTTTCTTTGAGAGGGTAAATTTCTAAGCTCAGAAATGTAGCTTTAAAGACCGCAATAACCACTTGCGGAAAATTTACTCTATAGGTCAGTCCCTGTCCTACACCCTATAAAAGTACAAAGAAACACAACTCCTACCTCAGAGCTAGCTAGACTCTTTATGCTCCTTTTAAAGATCTAAGCCACTCTTTCCTCCATGAGAACAGAAATAATGTCTGTCTTATTTACTGCTGCCTATTGCATTCATCCCTCCAGTAAATATTTACTGAGCACCTACTATGCGCCAGGCCCCAATTCACGCACTGAAGATACGACGGTAAACCAAGTACCGATTCTCATGGAGCTTAGATTCTAGTAATAGAGACAGACAACAAATCAATGAGCAAACAAACACACAATATGCAAAGCAGTGGTTACATATTTGCACAAGATTAAAAAGAGCAAGGGGACAAGAGTGGTGGAGGATGTTATTTCACATAGGTTTATCAGGCGAGATTTCTCTGATAAGAGGAAGTTCCAGCAGAGACTTGAATTAGGTGAGGGAGTAAGCTATGTGGATATCTGGAAACAGAGGGATCTGTAAGTACAAAATCCTCAAGGAAGGAAAGACCAACAATGGTGTATCAGTGAACCATGAGAGAAGGGTCACAAGAGTGGGGTGAGCAAAGTTGGGGTGCAGCCAGAAATAGGGGTGGGGCAGAGGGAGTGCCATTATCACGTAGGGCCTTTTCACTGAGGACTTTGTATAAGATTTTTATGGAACTACAACACACGTAGAGAAATGTACACGAGTCATAAATGTACAACTCCATGAATTTTCACCGCCTGGACCCACCCATTTAAACCACCAACCTGCCTGAGCTGTAGAACATTGCCAGCAACCCTAAAGCCTCTCTCCTGCCTCTTTTGTCATTATCCCCCCAAGGATAAAACCATTATTTCAACTTCTGTTATTGTGGATTCGTTTTGCCTGGTTTCAAACTTCATGCAAATGGAATCATACAGTATTAACCTTTGATGTCTGGCTTTATTTGCTGAATGTTATGTTTGGGCATTTGTCCATGTAGCTATGGATGGTCATGGTTCATTTTCTTCATTAGTGGGTAGTATTGACCATACATATACCACAGTGTGTCTTTCTATTCTACCATTGATCAACATTTGGACTGCTTCCAATTGGGGGCTATTTCAAATAATACTGCTATGAGGATTTTTTTTTTTTTTTGTATCTTTCAGAACACATGAGTATGCATTTCAGTTAAGTAAATATTGAGGGGTGGGATTACCGGGCATAGCTTTTGCTTTGATGAATACCCAAACTGTCTTCAAACTTTGCTTTTTAATCTGAATGAAAAGGGAAATCATTTGAAGGTTTAAAGTAGAGAAATCACATAATCTGACCTATATCTTTAAAGAAATTTATAATAGAAATTTTTAAAGATTATATATTTTTAAGTTTATATAGATTTTTGAGAGAGAGAGAGAGAGCGGGGTGGGAGGGAGGGGGACAGAGAGAGAGAGAGGGAGAAGGAGAGAATCCTAAGCAGAGTCCACACTACCCAAGACTGACAGAGCTACCCAAGTACCCCAAAGATAACATTTTTTAAACGTTCACCATATGAAATAAAACCCAAGCTGACCAGTGCCAGCATTAAAAGCATGAGCCCAGGGGCACCCGTGTGGCTCAGTTGGTTGAGCATCCAACTCTTGATTTCAGCTCAGGTCATGATCTCACTGTTGTGGGATCAAGCCCCACGTCAGGCTCCACGCTGAGCATGGAGCCTGCTTAAGATTGTCTCTCTCCCTCTCTCTCTGCCCCTCTCTCCCCTCCCTCGAAGAAGAAGAAGAAGAAGAAGAAGAAGAAGAAGAAGAAGAGGAAGAGGAGGAGGAGGAAGAGGAGGAGGAGGAAGAAAAACAAGAAAAAGCATGAGTCCAAATCTGTATCTCTAGCCAGAACCTCTACTGTGAACCACAGACTCATGTCTCCAAAGCCTACTTGACAACACATGGATGTCTAATGGGCATCTCAAACTCTCTATGGCCAAAACCCAGCTCCTGATCTGCCCTGGGCCAGCCCCTCCTATAGGTTTCCCTTTCTTAATTACTAGCAGCTCCATTGTTCCATTCACTTGGGCTGAAAACCCTATTGGTGTCATCTTTTTTTTTTTCCTTGTATTTTTTCACACCCCATATCCTGTGTATCAGCACATCCTGTGAGCTCTATCTTCAGAATATTCTGGAATCACTGCTCACCGCACCCCTGGCCACTACCTGTCTAGGCCACCATTATCTCTCCCCTAGACTATTGTGGTCCCCTCCTCAGTGGTCTCCCATCTTCCACATCTGTCCTTACCTTCTTTAGGCTACTCTCCATGCGGCTTCCTAAGAGAATCCTGTTGGGACATAAATGAGATCCGGTCATTCGCTATTAAAACTCTCCTGTATCACAGGGTGAATACCAAAGTCCATGCTACCACTCACAGCGTGGAATGTCTCCTTTGAGCCTGACTCTCACTCCTGTGCCTCTCCTCTTCTTACTCTGCTCCAGCCACACTGGCTTTTCTCCTGTTCCCCAAGAAGTCCAGGCACACTCCTACCTCAGGGTCTTTGCACTTGCTGTCCCCTCTGCCTACAATGCTTTTGCCCCTACTGCTGGCTTCCTTGCCTCCTTCAAGTCTTATTTTCAGGATTTCCTTTCCCAGCAAGGACTTCTCCAGCCACCTTGCTGAACGTTTCACACTTCCCTCCATACCCCGCGTTTCGTATTTGCTTTCCCAGCTTTGTGTTCTCTGCGTAGCATTTATCATTATCTTACACGCCATAATTTTTTATCTTGTTTATCAGCTGTCCCTCCCAGTGGAACGTAACTGCTAGGAGGACATTGATTTTTATGTTTTGTTTACCTCCGTAGCCCAGCGTCTAGAATGGCGCTTGGCACACAGTAGGTACTCCATAAATATTTATTGCATGAATGAGTGAATGGATGGATGGATCCTTGCCCTAGATCCTTTCCCGATTACCTGTGCCTGAGAAGCTGGTGGCGAATCAACAGTGGTCTCTAAGCACCTCTTGTAAGTTGGAGTTGCCAATAGAAACACGCTCTTCTGTATGCTCCCTTCCTGGCGTGCAGGGACCTGGGAAAAGCGGAGATGCTGATTGATATCTCTGACTGGGAAGGAAGATGGGATTAGGTACTAGAAATTAGAGGAAGGATGTCTCCGCCCGTCTGCTCCCAGCAGCAGAGGCTGTGATCTGCCTGGCAAGTCGCCTGCTCCCAGAAACAGGATGTGTCCAGAGAGGAAGTGACTGCAGACATAGTTCGGGGGGGAAAATGCCCTGTGCCTGAGACAGAACACTTGAGACTAGTCATTCTGGAGCCTTCCAAGGGTCCATTCCTGGGGGATGAGTAAATTCCGCTCCACGGTCTCGCAGTGACTCACTCTGTATCTCGGGGAATTCACGGCCCATCCCTAAGACAGGGCGAACAGGTGTTTCCTCCTCTGGGGTTCCCAGCTTGGGCCACTGGGGGCTGAAGGAGAGGCAAGGCCCGTGCCAAGCCCACAGCCAGCTCGGGTGGGCTACGAGATTAACCTGCTTCCGTGCCGGCGTCTTCCTGGGAATGATGTGGATGAGGAGGTAGCATTGGCAAGGCAGCAGGGTCTTGGTGCTGTGACTGCCACTGCCGGAGGAACAACTCCGTGCCAGAGACCGAAAAGAGCACGCGAGTTTCGGGCTCTGCAGAAACTGTCAGAGGGAGCAGCTTTTTAGCAAAACATTTCACCAGTCTTGTTGTCTTCCTTGATTCGAGATCAGAGTTTTGATGGTGCAAAAGGTCATCACCCGGGGTCTCTAGGAAACCTGCTGTCTCCCCCTTCCCCAAGAGTGGGCAAGAAAACAAGCTGAGCCGGACCGAGCCCTGGGACCTCACGCTCAGGCGCCCAGCAGAGGGATCTCCCTGCTCTAATAAGGCGGTCCCGCTTCCAGACCACGGAGGCTGCGGCCTGAAGTCTTATTTTGCAGCCGGAAGTGAGAGAAATAGTTCCTACAGACACTCCACGGTAGCTCTGCCTTGGTGGGCTCAAAAATGTGGCCTCTGCATTTTGGCCAAAGGGCATTAATGTCATACCGCCCACTCCAGGAAACTTTTGATGGAAAGCAACTTGGCTATTTAAGAAAAGAACCACAAACACGGTGTTCAGCATGGAAACGGGCAGACGCATCAATTCAAGTTCCCAGAAGAATAGAGCAAGAAAAGTCTCCCAACACCCTGCGACACCGCAGCAATCTCCAGACGAGCTCCGGGCCTCCTGTTTCTGGAGAAATGCAGGGAGCAACTCAAAGCTTGTGTGAGCATTGTGATTATTACGATAAAAGCGGACACGTTTTCTTCTTCCTCTCGGAAAACCAAAACAAGCATCTTTAAGCTTGTCTTTGGTAAGAGGTTAAAGAGAGCTGGAGGTGTCCTCCTGGCAGGCTGCTTCTAACTTACTCATTCACAGAAAAGAGCTCATATGGTACAAAGCATTCTGCAACCTGCTTTTTTTTTTTTTTTTTTTTTTTGGCTTAAGTAATTGCCCATGAGCATCTTTTCATGTCAGTATGTATATACCTACATCCTTTTTCTTTTTAAGTGTATTCATTTATTTTGAGAGAGAGAGAGAGAGTGCAAGCAGGGGAGGGGCAGAGAGAGAGAGGGAGAGAGAGAGAATCCCAAGCAGGCTCCGCACTGTCAGCACAGAGCCCAACGTGGGGCTCGACCTCACAAATGGTGAGATCACGGCCTGAGCTGAAATCTAGAGACAGACACTTAACCCACTGAGCCACCCAGGCGCCCCTGTATCTACATCCTTCTATGTACTTCCTGTAAACTAAGAAACTAAGGGGTCTTCCCCGATGGAGGAGACGGAGTCACCCTGGGGATGGCCTGAAGGCGAGCCCCAAGCAGACATCCACGCCGCTCAGTGCTCTCTGCAGGATACTCCCCCACGAGGAGCCACCTCTTGGCTGTCTTTGAGCTCCTCCCCACTGCAATTTCCCCTCACCCTGCTCCAAACTCACTTTTTCCTTTCCAGAGGCTAGAAATGAAAAGCAAAGAAACCATTCTCCCTGGTGGAGTGAACAGCCCTCCTGATTTGCCTGAGAGTGAGGGTTTTCCCAGGACATAGGACTTTGAGTTTTAAAACGAGGACAGTCCCATGAAAACCAGGAGGGCTGGTCGTCCTATTCCCAGAATCATGGCGTTGGCAGGAGGGAAGGGAGCTCAATCCTGACCGAGTTTCTGGAGATCCCCTTCTCACAGTTCCACCCAGGTCAAGCTAGAAGTTTCTGGAAGGCACACTTACAGAGATTCTCATTGACTGGGCCTGCTTAGGTCCCATGCCCACCCTGGAAACAATCACCAGGACAGGGAATGGAAGCCTGAGAGGCTTAGAACTATCCACCAGGAGGGGCTCAGTCATTGAGCATCCGAATTCAGCTCAGGTCATGACCTCCCAGTTCATGAGTTTGAGCCCCGCATCTGGGCTCGCTGCTGTCAGCACAGAATCCGCTTCTGATCCTCTGTCCCCCAATCTCTCTCTCATTCATTCTCCCCCATTCATTTTCTCTCTCTCTCTCTCTCTCAAAAATGAAGAAACATGAAAAAAGATAAAGATAAAAAAAGAGCTATCCACCAGGAAAGGGATCCAAATGAAGACACTGACTGCTTCCCACTCAGCAAAGCTGTCACTTCTCTAAAGCCAGCCACAGCCTCTCCCTAGATTATCTCATTTTTCATCAAACGAGGTGGCTGCCAGGCCCTTCCCCACCGCAGTCTGTGGGACGTGAGTCCTGGTATCCTCCAAGGAGCAGAGCTGGGAGCAAGAGGGATCCCCTAAGAGGCGGGAGACGTTCACAGGCAGGACGGACTTGGCCACCACGGCAGGACTCATCACTTCGTGGCCAGCAAGGTCAGGAGACCAGGCTAAACTTAGGTGTAAGCCGTATGTCAGGAACACTTTCAAATAACAGGCTCCGTTTGCTGGCAGTGAGCCTTCCAACATCTTTCAGGCAAAAGGCCTCTCTCTACATTTAAACCAATGAATCTAATTACTATTTGGAGAATACCCAGTAAGTACACAACTTTCCCTGTGTTTCCAGAACTTCTGGACATTCTGTGGTACATTTATTGTACTTTCTCTCTCTCTCTCTTTTTTTTTTTCAGCTTAACAGTTAGACCCAATAATTTCAATTTCAAGTACTTTATCTGAAAACGTAATGAGGTTATTATTTGAAAATGTAAGTACTTTTAAATTTTTTTGATGTTTATTTATTTTTGAGAGAGAGACACACACAGAGCACGAGCAGGGGAGGAGCAGAAATAGAGAGAGAGAGAGAGAGAGAGAGAGACAGAGTCCGAAGCAGGCTCCAGGCTCCGAGCTGTCAGCACAGAGCCCGATGCGGAGCTCGAACCCACGAACTGTGAGATCATGACCTGAGCCAAACTTGGCACTTAACCCACTGACCCACCCAGGTGCCCCAAAAATGTAAGAACTTTTATAAAAATAAATAATTGAATAAATAAATGAATGGAGGACGAAATACAAATCTCCCATGCAGAAAAATTCCAAATAATTTGTGTATATACTCTGCCCTCAAGGCTCCCCGGTCCCTGGTCCTTAAGCACGGGTTGTGCATAGTGACTTCCTTCCAAGAAACAGCCGGAAAATGGGAGAAAAGAGGAACTTTATAGTGGAGAAACCTGACTAACATGACCTCAGCCAGGTGATTTTATTTTAAAATAAATAAAGGTGTATTTATTTATTCTGAAAAAGAGGGAGCACTCGAGCAGGGGAGGGGCAGAGAGAGAGAGAGAGAGAGAGAATCCCAAGCAGGCTTCATGCGGACAGCACGGACATGGGGCTCAAACCCATGAAATGTGAGATCACGACCTGAGCCAAAAACCAAGAGCTAGATACTCAACCGACCGAGACACTCAGGTGCCCCCCCACCCAGCCAGGTGATTTTTTTTTTTTAATGTTTATTTATTTTTGAGAGAGAGAGAGAGAGTGCACGAGGGGCAGAGAGAGAGGAGGACAGAGGATCCAAAGCAGGCTCCGTGCTGACAGCAGACAGCCCCATGCGGGGCTCGAATCCGCGAACTGTGAGATCATGACCTGAGCGGAAGTCCGATGTTAACCAACTGAGCCACCCAGACGCCCCATCCCAGCCAGGTGATTTTAAAAGAGTTTGTCCCATGTTTCCCGACTTTGCCAACACTTACACAGCTGTGGGGAGGCAGTCTGGTTCAGCAGAGGGTCAGCCACACTGTCACCACCCCCTCGGACAGGCGGTTCCCCTCATCCTCCCAGATCCCCCCGGCCATTCACTCATTCTCTGCTAAAGGCAGCAAGGTCAAGGGCCTTTCAGACCCTCTGGGTCAGTTTGGTTAGAGGTGATTTGCACAAAGCGTTGCTGGGACCCCGAGGGCACACTTTATAGGACAAGCTGTTCACGCCAGCATCTGAGACCACAAAGCCCAAGAGTCTGAGTGTGGAGACACCCAGGAAGTCTGAAGGGCCCTCTCACCTTCAGAGGTCCAGCTCAGCTCACAGGAATGGCATGCATCAAAAGGCAAGAAGGCCTTATAAGTCCATCCCATCAAGCCACCAGACGCTGGTCACCTTTATGTGGTTGCACAAAAGGTCAACTTCTCCAGGAGGGGTGCGGGGATCTGTGACCTTTGGAGCCAGGGTGGAACCCATGCCTGAGAAGCCAGGCTACCACAGGAAGTGGAGACCCCCCCCCCCCCAACCCCCGGCAAGAGAGGGACTCAGAGCTGGGCCTTCTATTCCCTCAGGTAATAAGTGGTATTTTGGTTCTTGGTTCCTTTTCTCTCTTCTTTTCGACCCCCACACATTCTCCAAGGAAGTATTAAACACGTTCTGCAAAACCCAGGAACAAGCCCCCAGAGAAACACGGAGAAGAGTGGGTGCCCTTCCTTCAAGATCTGATATATCCAGGTGGCTCAGTCGGTTAAGTATCCAACTTCAGCCCAGGTCATGATCTCATGTCTCATGGGTTTGAGTCCTGCGTGGGGCTCTCAGCTGTCAGATCTTCTGTCCCCCTCCCAACTCTCTGCCCCTCCTTTCCTCCCCCCACCTCAAAAATAAATTTAAAACATTAAAAAAAAATCTGACATATCCAAGGCCCAGCTGGGGCCTTGGATAATCCAATCTCACCACCAGCTGGGTGGAGGGCCCGGGGCACAGCTCCCTGGGGACAGCTCCCTGTCCTGGCCTTCCCTGGGGGAGACAGAAGGTAGAGGCAGGTCATCAAGTTGGGCTTAGCCACAATTGCCCTTGGGGAGTTCTGTGCAGGCGATCGCCTTGTGAGGAGAGAAAGAATCTCTTAGTGGGTTGAAGCAGCATCTCTGTAGAAGGAGGGAGAAGAAACAACAGGTTAGCTTCCTGAGGGAAAGAGAGGACAGGAGAGCAACACAGGAGGGGGGACAA